CAGTGAGAGAGTGAGGCAGTGAGAGAGTGAGGCAGTGAGAGAGTCGCTGCCTATCTTTACAGGAGCCAAATGCCCCATCGTTCTCTGAGAGAGTGAGGCAGTGAGAGAGTGAGGTAGTGAGAGAGTGAGGCAGTGAGAGAGTGAGGCAGTGAGAGAGTGAGGCAGTGAGAGAGTCGCTGTCCATCTGTACAGGAGCCAAATGCCCCATCGTTCTCCCCAGAGCAGCTGGTGGGCTCGGGCCACTCATCTTGTGTAGCAGCCCGGTGTCTGAGCCACGAGGAACAGAGGGCAGTCATCTGGAGCGGAGGCCGTTAGTGGTTCCGTGGTCAACCCCGCACCTTCCGTGTGGGCCAATGCCCTGCACACGGAGTGTCCTAGGATGTGGAACAGGCTGCAGGAGCTGCCCCCCCCACGATGAAGTAGGAAGAAAGCACAGCAGAGGCACCCCCACGGACAACAAGAGTGCCATCCAAACTGAGCGTGTGCCTGGCACAGCACCAGGCAGTTTGCTCTGTCGTGCCCGGGGTCACGGGGAGCCAGGGGAGTCTCTGTCGGCTCCCAATGCCCACAGCCTGCCCCCTTGCACTGCCCAAGGGCTTTACTTCTCCCAACGCGACTCTCTCAACTTCCACTCACAGAGATCTCGCACAACAAAACTGGCTTTGGGATGTCAAGGATTCCCTGCTTGCACGCTTTAGTAAATGCTCCCATTAACGAGAGGAATAGCGTGCTGATGTACTATGAGGACCCAGACCCAGCCTCGTCCATGACATGTGAGCCACGGAAGGTGAACTTGGGACACGGTTTCTTCTTGGAACATTGTACTGTGATTGGGTGGTCATTTAAGGAATGCATTCGTTTGCCTTGCAACAACTGATGAACAGTTTACTTAATGACGTTAGCGCTAATCACCTCAATCTGTCAGCACCCTTCGCACTTCCCCAGCCTTCTTTTCTGCCTTCTCAACTTTGTTTGGGGGCTGGCTGCCCTCCGGGTCCCATCTGGTGGATGGTTCCGGGGAGCACATCTCTCCCAGTCAGATGGTTCCGGGGAGCACATCTCTCCCAGTCAGTGGTTCTGGGGAGCACATCTCTCCCAGTCAGATGGTTCCGGGGAGCACATCTCTCCCAGTCAGTGGTTCTGGGGAGCACATCTCTCTCAGTCAGATGGTTCCGGGGAGCACATCTCTCCCAGTCAGATGGTTCCGGGGAGCACATCTCTCCCAGTCAGTGGTTCCGGGGAGCA